CTCAAGGCCAAAGCCAAGACCAAGACTTTGGACTTCATTGATGTGCTCCTGCTGAGCAAGGTGGGCTTCCTGGGACCTGAACTCAAGAGATAGAATGGGGAGCTTCATGTCAAATGTCAAATCCAAGAACTTGGACTTGACCCAGTGGGCTCTGGGGAGCATGGAAATTATTTGAGTCAGGAAGGGAGCAGTCAGAGATAGGTTTTGGGGAGGAGTCTATGAAGGGCAGCCAGCAGGGGACTGCTACATCTGAAACTATGCTGAGCCTCAGATTTTACTTCGTTTACAGGTTATTATGTTAGTCTGCCACATTGTTACGTGTATCCATGTATCTGTGTCTCTGTCTATGTCTGTATCTAAGCTGACAGATTCGCCTGACCCCTGGATCAGAGCAGCCTATTTATTATTCACAGCAATGGCAGCAGTCAGAGTTTGATTGCAGTGCCGATTCCCCACTCCCAATTTGCTCCTAGGGCAATGCACTGTTTTTACCTCTTACTGCACCAGAATTTGCACCACAGCAGAGAGGCCCCCACATTATGAGTCTTGGAGTTCATAGACAACAGCTCGCACATCTGTGCCTTCTTCCTTCCAGAGACAGACAGAGAGAGAGAGAGAGAGAGAGAGAAAGAGAGAGCTTTCTTCTGGAGTATAAACTACTCTCCAGTGAGATGGCAATGACTATGGGTTTATAAGAAAAATGTCTTCAGGGGAGATAAGATTCTTTGTGTTTATCATCCTGGAAGGTGAGCAAATATCTTTGTAACAACACTTAATTTCTAAGATCCAAGGCGAATTGCCATTTAAACATCCTGAAACCCAGGTTGCTGGTAATTTCTTCTCCAAAAGTCCTCATTATGGAGGAACATAAAATTATTCATGGATCACTGATTCCTCACACCAGGGATAAAAGAGGGGGCAAGGCAGTCACAGAGGAAGCCCACCGGGCGAGGGCTCTGGCTATGTTGTCCCGGAGAAATCTAGGAGCGCAGGGTGTCTGAGAGGAGGATGCATCTTCAGAGACTGTCTCAGGTTAGACGCAGGAGTCTCAGAGCTTGTGTGATTTATTGGGTTTTACCTTCTCTCCAGGATGAAGATGGAAAGCAGTTGTCAGATGAGGATATAAGAGCGGAGGCTGATACCTTCATGTTTGCTGGTGAGGGTCCCAGTGTGGGACTACAGTGGGGACAGGGGCCTCTCCATTCCAGGGATGCGGTGGATGGACCCTGATACTCCCATCCTCCCTAAGGGCCTCCATGTTAGGGCGCTGTCCACCCCTCTGGTGCTGAAGCAGCTCAGAGACCCACGTCAACCTTCTTGCACCTCAGGCCATGACACCACGGCCAGTGGCCTCTCCTGGGTCTTGTACAACCTTGCGAGGCACCCAGAATACCAGGAGCGCTGCCGGCAGGAGGTGCAAGAGCTGCTGAGGGACCGCAAGCCCAAAGAGATTGAATGGTGAGTGCAGGTCCTCATGGCCGTTCCTGAGCCCCTCTCTTTGGCTCTGCTGCCCAGGTGGGGAGGAGAGAAGTTCTATTTCTTCATTCTACTGGTATTTCTTAGTGGTAATTGGAGCAGAGCCCAGAGGAAGGACTCGAAACCCAGTTGGCTATCAGGGGAATCATTGCAGGTTTTGGGGACAGAAAGACTGGGTTGCTGAAGAATTAGTAACGCTCTGTGAGGGCTAATGATGCCACTGAGCACGTGTTCATTAATGAATTTCGTCTCCACTCCCTTTCTTTTCTCCATGAAATATCATTGCTTTAAACAGCTTCACTCACTAAGTTTGCTCCTCTGTGCCCTAATTCCTACCCGACTGTCCAGTCCAGGGATTCACAAAGGAGACCCAGAGGTAAAAGTCATCCGTCTCCTGTCCAGAACACCTGAGTCACTCACCCACCCAGCCTCCATGTAGCAAACACTCCCACGCTGCCTTCCCACCCCCAGTTCTGTGCCCAGCACTTTTTTTGTGCTCTGGAGACCTGGGAATGACCCAGGCCAGGGATGTGCCTTTCAGGGGCTCCCAGTCTGGTGGGGGAACAGTCCCCCATGAGGACATTCCCAGCCCACAGGAGCGTGAATAGAGTTGAGAGTAAGAGAAGCAGGACTGGGGGTTAAAATGTGTCTCAGCTGAGTCCCTGAGTGATGGTCAGTAGACATTTTGGTGCAGTTGGGGAACAGTGCTCTAGGTCAAGGAGATGGGCTGGCAAAGGTCTGCGGAGAGACGACAGAGACAGAGGGAGAGAGAAGTTTTAATGGTCAACTTTACCCCAAGGTTAATGGGAGCCAGGGGTGGTGTTTGAGCAGGGGAGGGAGAGGTCATATCTGGGTACCGGAAAGCTCTTTCTACGGCTAGTGTGGACAGGATATTGGAAGGCACACACTGTGGCATGAGGAAGCAGGGGGGAAGTTCTGAGGTCTTAGCCAGGCCCAGGATGGGGGCATACAATGGAAGCATCGGACCAGACAGGTGTTTGGAGGTGGCGTCCTCCCCTCCAAGCGTTTGCTCAGCACAGCATTTTCTGTGAGGTGGAGAAATATTTTCATTCATTTAAAACCAGGATTTCAAGAAAAATTATGCGCTTAGTAGAAAAATAAAACTGTCCAGAAGAGTTTAGGACAAATATAAGCTTACTTCTTAAGCCGTACCCTAGTAGTGACTGTGGCCAATGGTTTCCTGTGTGTCCTTCCAGAAAACAGCTACCCGATGCCCACATTTATGTGCACACTCTCTTCGTCCGTACAGATGGGAGTATCTAAAACCGACACAGGTCTGCACACTAACAATATACTGTGAGGTTGTTTCTTTTTCTCAAATATGAGCTTTGGAAATGAGTGTATTTTTAAATTTCTTGCTTTAAATTTTAATTGACACATTTTAATTATA